GCCACAGACATAGTGCCCACATTGGGTTTCATGTTTAATACTCTTATGCCAGTTTTCCGTCTTCGAGCTGCCTGTCAACTAATAATTTCATGAGTTTGAAAGGAAGACGCCCAGAAAGTTTGATATTATGGTTTATCTGGTCTATGTGTGCCCAAGGCTTAAATTAAAAAATACTAGCTGCTTTGCTGTCTTCCCCCCCAATATCTTTTGGAGGGCATCTAAATCAAAAGAACTCTACTTTTCTCTGATGAAAAAGAACACATATTCTCCAAATCTCATCAAGTCAGTGGTAGTGGGTAGGTGAGGCTTGATCATAGAAAATGTCAAAAATAAAACGAGCATTTAAGAACCACTGACAAATCCTGCTAGACCTATTGAGTGTGACACGAAAAACTGAAACTCTCTGAGGCCTATGGTATAACAATTATATATGCTATGGCTATTTAACATCAGTTATGTTTGACAATGCCAATTCAATACAACCTTATTTGCTATTTTATTCTGTACTTAACAAAGTAGAGTTTGTCTGACCCCCCGGACTAAGTTAAGTGCCCCAGCTGAGTAAAGGCTTAGCATCCCATGCTTCCATTATCCTAACAGTTTATCACAGTTTATTATAATTATTTTAACTATGTTAAATTCCCTTAGGGCAAAAAATGTATATGCTTAGCTTACCCAATATAGTGAGTTGGATTATTAGGGTCTTTGCTAACTGGGGCAGCCTAAAAACTTAGGTAACATAATTGGAACAAAAACACTCAGGTCTCACTTTTTTTTTTTTTTTTTTTTTTGAGACGTAGTTTTGCTCTTGTTACCCAGGCTGGAGTGCAATGGCGCGATCTCGGCTCACCACAACCTCCGCCTCCTGGGTTCAGGCAATTCTCCTGCCTCAGCCTCCTGAGTAGCTGGGATTACAGGCACGCGCCACCATGCCCAGCTAATGTTTTGTATTTTTAGTAGAGACGGGGTTTCACCATGTTGACCAGAATGGTCTCGATCTCTTGACCTCGTGATCCACCCGCCTCGGCCTCCCAAAGTGCTGGGATTACAGGCTTGAGCCACCGTGCCCGGCCTTGGTCTCACTTTTATACTTGTTGTTAGAAGCATTCCACAACACTTAGGGATAACAAGTAGTATGCAATAATACAGAATCCCTGCCTTTGTCTCACCAACCTTTGCCTCCCCTCACTGGCAACATCTTTTAGAAATCTCTCTCTGGTTCTCATAGTCTATAAAATCTTAGAAGGTACCAGATGTTTGCAGGAGGTTGTCCCACACATCCTCAATTTTAAAGTAGACGTAAGATTTATTATAGCTATATAAATGTAATTCAGCCTTGACTTTTGTGTTCATGAGCAAGTTGTAATCTGCAACATGGCCTCTTGTGAAATAGAACAATTCTTATCTCTGGAGTGTGGATATCAATGCCGAATACCCAAAATAACCACAGGATACTACTGAAGCGAGTTCTGCCCACAAACCGTTTCTCCCTCTAGGATATTTTAATTTAACATAAACATTTTTCAAGACAACCATTTTGCATTTAGGCAGCATGCAAAACTAGGCTGGAATAAGTTGTGTATGAAAATACAGCAACACCTGGGATAAGTGCCTGAGCAGAGACTGTTGATGCCTTAAGTTAGGGTTTTCTCCTACTGCATCACATAGTTTCGAACAGTGAGAACAGGCTAAAAGCCACTCTCCTGCTTTTTCTGGTCCTGCCTAGCTCAGGGGTGCTATGTAATACACCATTCATTCCGATGCAGCAAGTGGAATCTGGGTTGTGCTTTATCCTGGGGAATCCCATAAACTCCTTACTAAAAAACAAGTGAAGGGGCGGGCTGGAGGCTGAGGAGCATTTTTAATTACTGTAAAATAGGTCTAGTTGTATTTTTTCAACGTTGTAAGGAAGTTTTCAAAGAAAAGTTCTTCATGTAAAAATGGAGTTTATTTTTCTTATAACAGTTACTTGATAAGAATCTTTTGAGCAATTCCTCTGTGCAGGGCAGTGAATTAAAATTCCTGGAAGAGGACTATGAAAATGCATCCTAAATAGACTCCTGATTTTTTTTCAAAGATCACACACACACACACATGCACACACACCAACTACAGAACTTTAGAAGTGGTTGGAATACCATAGAGGTTTTAACTAAAATGCTTAAAACACTTCACTTTCTTTTGACACGATCCAGACACCGACTGAATTCTAAATGGTCACTAATCACTTTCAATTAATTGGTGGCATTGTAAAGACTGGGAAGATATGCCCCCAATTTGACTCTTGTTTTTATTGATGGTCGATTGCATACCACTGTTAGCATTTTAGATAGGCACATCATAATTAAAGAAAAACATCTATAACATGTATAAACTGGGACGTTCGTGTAGCTGGTGGGGAAGGTACATGCAACTGACACCCACAGAGGGAAGGTTTTGATGAAGAGATGTCAGAAGCCCAAAGCGATACGCTGCAGGTGCTACCCAGAGAGAGGACTATTACATATAATTTTTGTTGGATTGCTGATTTGCTCACTGATCTTTGCTGCTGCATTCATGAACACTGTAACATTGTCATCTGAGATGTATCTGTGTGGAAAATGGAGTTGGCACATTTGACTAATCCATGCCATAAATTTGTGAACTAACACTTCACACCCAGACAAGTATTAGCAAGAACGTATTTTGCTTTATAAGTCTATGTTGGTGGTCAGCTCTCAATGCCATAGCAGAACCTAAAGGAGGAAAACTGGAAGAATTTTCTCAAAGACATCTAGGACTAATAAAAAAAGAGACAGGGGAAGAGAGGGTATGAAACGCGTTCGTACGGGACACATCACTAAGCTTGCTTTCACTAAAGTACATCCAGCAACACATAGTGGGTTCAAATTTTAGTTTTTAAATCAAATGATTTTCCAGACATTCCATTTCACATCAAATCGGTATCTAGGAGATGCAACTGATCAAAAGCATAAGGATTTGTCTTCTGTTAAAACAGCCAGCAAGTGCTGAGGACAAAAAGCCAATTAAGAAGTCACTGTTGCTCTTACAAGTTAAAACGCCTATATTCTCATTCTTAATCATGTCCCGCACTAAGTAACAAAATCTGCATGCCTGCCTTCTTCAATCTCTTGCAGGCTGACTGAAGCCAGTTGAACTGTGCTAGGCATTAGGGCAGTTTCAACCAAAAATATGGATGATCTATATGACTCCAAGTGATGGCATGAGGTTTAAGATTAAACCTCATAGCATCAATAAGCAAATCTTTTTAGATTTCTTGATGAGAGTACCTTTTTAATCAGCATGAGTTGGGTATGCTGTCTTTGCTAAAAAATTCTAAATCTTCTAAGATCAAGTTTATTTTTAAAAATTTATACCCCCTCCACAATTTTAGTAAAGAACAAAAATCTTAGTAAAGAATCATGTCATTTTGTATCAGAAGCATACCTTACTGATCAACTTTTAAAAACTCCTTCATTTTTCAAATAAAGTAGCTTATGATCATGCAAACAGATTTTGTCCTCCCACTGTGGGGAGAGGTAACAGCACTTCAATTTATTCTTTCTGAAATAATTCTAAGGTTTTGTTAGATGATTTCCATTTGAATCTGTACATTGTAACATCTATCTGTACATTGCAAACTCTTTTTTTTTTTAAGCTCAAAACCATTTCCCCTGGCCTTCCTAAGCAAAATGGTGAATTAGCCAATGGGTTTCATTGTCAGAGCTGAGGCCTGTAACCTAAGCACATCTTTGTACAGCGAGCTTCAATTTCTTTGAATTCTAACATCTTTTTTCTATCCTACGCAAATCTTAGTTGTCAGAACACTTTGCTCGTGCATTCTGGTTTAGAGGTTTGCATAAATGACGAAGGCCCTCAGAGGCTGACAAATGCCACTGCTATTTTCACCACTCTGCTTGTCACTGTGTAATTGCAGTAAATGCAATTGAAAGTACTTTTATTTGAAGGCCATTTGACAGAGGGGGAGAAAACACATTTACTCTTTCAAGGCCTGCGTATTTTCCTGGGAGAAGCCTGCCTATAAAATTTGTCCTTTTATCCTTGGATGGCAATTTGGGAACTATCTTTGGGCAGTGCAACCTCTTGAATCATTTCTGCAACCCAAGAACACAGCCTCAATTCACAGACCTCCCCTTCCATTTTCCCCACCTCCCTGCCTCCTGCCTTCTAGAGACTGGAAGCCTGTTTCATGCTTGTGTGCTTAAAGCCTTCTTCTCCACAGAATGAGATAGAAAATTTGCAAATTTTAGGCAAAATACTGATCTATTTTCATTCTAGGAGTTCAAGGAAAACCTTGTTTACTAATATCTGTGGCTATGTGAGGTAATACAAATAAAAAAGAGAGAGTACAGTGGATTTTTTTACAAGGTTCTTTTCTAAAGCATCCCTTCTCATGGGAATGCATGGAACTTCAACAAGATCACTTTTGTTTTCATCAGAGAGGCCAGCTAGCTCAATATAGCTGGCTTGCACAATCTTTAACAGGACTGTCCCATATCATATAAGTAAAAACATAAGAAAAATTCAAAATAATATTTATAATTTGCTAAACGTGGTTTTAAAAATCATCCTAGTCTCTGAAAGTCATCATAACTTTTTTTTTTTTTTTTGAGACAGTGTCCCATTGTCACCCAGGCTGGAGTGCAGTGGCATAATCACAGCTCACTGTAGCCTCAATCTCTGAAGCTCACGTAATCCTCTTACCTCAGCCTCCCAAACAGCTGAGACCATAGATGTGTGCTACCATGCCCAGCTGATTTTTTAATTTTTGTGGAGATGGAGGGTCTCACAATGCTGCCCAGGCTAGCCTCAAACTCCCGGGCTCAAGCAATGCACCTGTATTGGCCTCCCAAAGTGCTAGGGTTATCGACATGAACCACAGTGTCTGATTTGTTATAACTTCTGACCCACCCGTCAAGCCCCATAAACACTTTCTGTTGTCCCGTCTCTGTTCTCAGATCCGTTTAAACCCTTCTTACCTATAAACAGATTCCACTCTGTGTCAAGGTCAGCCTGATTTGCCAAGCAGCCCTTCATGACGTTCAGGCAGTAGTTGTTGCAGGGCCTCACGGTGGGAAGCCCCCGACAGTATGGGCAGTACAGCATCTTCATGAGGGCACGGATGCACCCTGGCGTTGGGCTGACCTGCAGATTTATGGCAAAGAAAAAGAAAATCAGAAATAAGAAGGATGAAGTGGAGGAAACAAAGAAATAAGGCATGTTCTCCTTTTTTAAAAAAGACAAATATCAGTGATGAATCTCAAGCAATAGAGCCGAATCTTAACCCTTTGTAATAACCGATCTTGAATCCAGACGATTCCTGTTGAATTCTTCTGCTAGGCAAAGTAATAACCTTTTTGTATGTCCCTGTCAACATTTTCATATGCATGTCATTGTGATTCAGCCCTAAAGCCTAGACACAGTTTCGTTGCCATAGAACATGAAACGAGATAACCCATGTGAAAGCAATTTGCAAAGTTAAAAGCCTCATAAAGTGTAGGTAGTATTAAAGTTTAATGTGACAACTTTAGAAAATTTTCCAACTGGTTATTTGACCCTGTTTCTAAAGGAGGTTGGCAGATATATTTCCTTTGTACATAACTTTTCTTCGAAGATCAATATCAACGTGTCTGAGATCTCTGAGATCCAGGCCTACTTAGAAGCAATGGAACTGCCAAGGTACCATCTTTGGGCATCAGCGGCTTTTGCACTTTTGGAAAATTCATGGAAAATTTCAAGGACCAGTGTTAAATGTGAGAAGCAACCCTTGCAGTAATTCAGAGGAGCTATGAATCCACTGACAATGAATGGGTATTTGCCCTGAATCAGAAAGTCAGTGCTCCTCAATTAATCAATTCTAAACCAGTAAGGGCTCTTTTCAGACATTAAAAATTCTAATTTGACTTCAAGAGGAAAGAATATTTAAAACATGATATGGTTTGTCTGTGTCCCCACCTAAATCTCATCTTAAATTGTAGTTCCTATCATCCCCACGTCATGAGAGGTGAATCCTGGGGGAGTTACCCTCATCCTGCTATTCCCCTGACAGTGAGTGAGTTCTCACCAGATCTGATGATTTTATAGGTGCCTTTCCCTCTTTTGCTTGGAAATTCTCCTTCCTGCCACCATGTGAAGAAGGATGTGTTTGCTTCCCTTTATGCCATGACTGTACGTTTCTTGAGGCCTCCCCAGCCATGCTGAACTGCAAGTCAATTAAAGTTCTTTCCTTTAAAAATTACCCAGTTTTGGGCAGTTGTTTATCGTAATGTGAGAATGAACTAATAGAAGACAGTAGGGACCAAAATTAGAAAACAAACACACAAAACTTTTTTCATGACTAGATGTAAAAATTGTTGTTATATTTGTTTGGTTAGCTCCATATAACTTTGATGTTTTATAGTCAAGTAACTATATATTCCTCTACTTACGTTCTAGATCTGAGGGAAAAATCTAATTTGTATCATTTGGCCCTCTTGGAGAGTGGTGGACTTGAGCTTACAGGTAACAAGAACATTCAGATGCTGAAGAAACATAATGCTAGTTAGCGTATTGATGGAACAACAAGAAGTGTTTCCACATAAATGGATACTTTCAATTACTATAGCTATTTCTCTATGATTTTATCCCTTAATTAGAATTAATTTTGAGATTTTTAAAGCAAGGCTTTGGTTTCTGTAACATTTTCTTAATTTTACCCAGTACATTGACAAAATCACTAAAAAATTATTTTAGGAAATGAAGCTGTTTATTTAGGCACTAAAATTTCTAATTGTCCTTTTGAGTTTTTTGGATTTTCTATCCAGAATTTTATGAAAATTTTCAAACATGAAGAATAGGTGAAAGACTTTTATAGTACACATCCATATCTCCTAGATTGTACAGTTTACATTTTTCTACATTTGCTTTTTCACACATCTATCCATCCTTCTACCCACCCATTAATCTACCTCATTTTTCATGTCAAAGTAATATCCTTTACTTTTTTTATACCAGAGTAATATCTTTTTAATTTCCACTTTTCCTGGTAATTTAATACTGGCTTGAATAAAATAGAATCAACATGATCAGCAATAGAAAGTCAGTGAGTAAAAAACTTTAAGTCAAATAAGTGAAGTAAAATATAATTGGACTTTCTTTACAAAGGTATTCATAGAAAGTTTTCCTATCCATTAATTCTAAAACTAATTCTCTAACAATGAAACAGAAACAAAAAATAGGTATAAAGGTGAGGAGTCTGTTGACTTTTCTTTTAAAAGGCTATTTTGTAGACAGTGCCATACCATGCAGAATGCACCCAATCTCACCTAATCTTGAGAGCTAAGGAGGGTTAGGACTGGTTAGTACTTGGATGGGAGACAATGCCAAGTTTTTCCCATAATTGAGCAGCACTGTTTCGAAATTTTCCTTTATCCCTGTGTGTCTTGAGCCACTCACCAAAAAAACAGAAAAAATAAATTTGTATTCCCCAAAAATATTAATCTGAAATTTCAAATTCTTATAGATTTTCCTTAGGCATGCTATCTTGCAAACTTATTTGGTGTGGTTACTATCTTGCAAGCCTTTAACACAGGTTTTTATTTTCTGTAGCCTTGCAATTTCTCTCCTGATTGATGCTTTTCTCCAGAGACTACCCAATTTTCACTTGAGCTAACTAAATTATTCTACCTTTGACGCTGTTGGGTTTTGGTTTTCTCACTATTGGTATTATACAATGCTGTGCTTCTCACTCAAGAGTTCTGGTATTAGAATCTGGAGCATTTGCCAATATTGAGGATGCAAATTTGAGATCTCTTGAACAGCGTGGACTGTCTCGCTCATCCTTATAACTTTCACTGCTATGCACAACATGCACATCATATAAGGTATTACAATGATGACTCGGGTACTTGCTAACTGCTTATCGAATCAAATGGTCTACTGTGTTTCCCCATTTCTTAGCCAAATTGATATTCAAATAGAAAAGGAACAAGATGGTTTTATACATCTTAGCATTCAATTGTTGCTTTTTAACTTTGTTTTCAAAGGCTATTGATTGCATTCATTTCAAAGCTTTTCTTTTCTTTCTTTTTTTTTTTTTTATTGTGTTGGACCCAGTACTATTTTATCAGTCTGACATTTCAGAAGAGTCTCCAACTTGGGGTAGCAACCCACAGAGAAAATTGAACAGCCTTAATAATCTAAAAGAACAATGTTGTTCAAGTTAAATGTGGGTCTCCAAGTACTTTTGGAAATGACATCCTTCCTGGTCAAATAAAGGGCAGTTGAAGAAGAAAATGGAGCACAGGCGATCAGAGTTGAAGCTTTCATGTTCACAAATCACATCTTTTGATCTTACACAACTGCATGCTTGAATTAAAAGAAAAATCATCACTTCAAATTGAAGACTTTTAAAAGTAAGCTTCTGACAATGTTGCTTTAAATGCCAATTGTGTGAGGAGATATCTCTGTTTTTCATAGTGTTTTATAACTGTACTATAGATACTCTTTAAAAATCTTTTCATTTTGAAATTAATCTATGCTCAAAAATAGTTTAAAAATAATAAACTCCTGTGTACCCTTACCTTAACTTACCTCAATAGTGACATCTTATATAGCTGTGGTGTAATATAAAAATGAGGAAAGTGACACGAGTATCTCACTATTAACTGGACTGTAGACCTTATTCAGATTTTAGAGTTTAGGAACCTGTATTCATTTGTGTGTATGTGAATGTGCATACACAGCTCTATGTTATTCTATAGCATGTATTCATTTGTGGGACCAACACCACAATCAACATACAGAACTCTTCTAACACCATAAAAGAACTCCCTTTTGCTACCTTCACCTCATCTAATGTCCCTATCGCCTGGCAAACACTAATCTATTTTTTCAACTCTATAATTTTATCAGTTCAAGAATGTTATATAAATGAAACTATACAATATGTAACCTTTTGAGCTTGACTTTTTTTTTTCTGAGCATAATGCCCTTAAGGACCATCCAAGTCGTTGCATATATTAATAGCTCATCTCTTTTCATTGCTGAGTAGTATTTCATTATTTGAATGTATCAGAATTTATTTAACCACTCACCCACTGAAGGATATCTGGGTTGTTTCCAGTACTTTCTTATTAGTAATAAAGTTTCTATGAGCATTTATGTACGGGTTTTTGTAGGTATTAAATTTTCATTTCTCTGGATGAAGTTCCCAAGAGTGGAATTGCTGGATTACATGGTGGTAAGAGTATGTTTAGTTTTGTAAGAAATTGCCAAACTGTTTCCAGCTTCTTTTTAACATTTTAGATTTCTACCAGCAATGTGTGAGACCTCCAGTTTTATCCACATTTTCACAGTGTTTGTGATTGTCACTATTTTAGCCCTTCCATAGGTGTATCATGCACTTTAAATTTTATCATGAGTTTCCTCAGGATAATATTTATATCAGTATTTAAGTCTGAGTACATTTCAATGATCCAAAATGATTCACCAACTGGTCTGTGTAAAACATTCAACATTGAAAAAAAAAAACTCTGAAATATTAGATAAACCTATATGGTTAGCAAAACTAAAACAAAGAAAAGAGTTCTGAAAACTCATACTTAAAATTTAAAATAGAATAACACCTCAAGCTTAGAGTACTTAGGTGGAGTATTTGTAAATTTATGGATCATTAGAAAAAAAATTACTGAAAAAATGTCTTCTTCTAGCAACAATGAAGAACACAATCCCTCTTTAGAAATATAATGCTGAGATTAATTTTTTTTAGTTGGTGATGTGGATTTTTGTTTATTTTTTAAATAGTATAGCTGTAGCTTTCCAGATATTTGTCGTAAACTGGGAAATAAACTTGGTTAAAAGAATAAGTGGATGATGATAACATTCTTTTTTGGTCTCATTTGAGCTCTCATCTAACTTTTACATGCTGTTCATAATCTTTTCTCAAGGACTTAAATAGACATTTCTCCAAACATGACACAAAAATGGCCAACAGGAATGTGAAAATGTTCCCAACATCATTAGTCATCAGAGAAATGCACTATGAGATACCATTTCACACCTGTTAGGATAAAAACAGAAGATAACAAGTGTTGGCAAGGGTGTGGAGAAAAAGAAACTCTTGCACATTGTTGGTGGGAAAAGAGATTGGTGTGGCCATTATAGAA